TTAAAAAAGTTCCAAGTGCAAATACTTTTATACAGAGGTGGTGGTAGTAGTGGTAGTAGTATGTCAGTTTTCTAAAGCAAAATAAATTCTCAAGAAGGGTAAAGGGAAAATTAATCTTTTAATCTGATGTCTGTCTCAAAGCTACACCAAGACATACCAGAGGAATCTGAGGTCTGGCCCATGCCTAACACTGCTTTCTGACTTGGCTGAGAAACTGAGTCAGTTTCAGGCTTGCTTTTTATAACCAGGAAATGGGTGTTCTAACTATATTCCTCTTACATAAAACTTACTAGGAAAAGGTATCTGTTCTGGGATGAATTGTATCCCCTTCTTAAAATTCATATGCTAAAGTCCTAACTTCCATGGGACTGTCTTTGGCAACAGGGTCTTTACAGAGGTACTTAAGGTTAAAGGAGGTCCTTGCAGTAGGCCCTAATCCAAAATGACTGATGCCCTTATAAAAAGAGATTAGGACACCATGCATGCACAGAGGGGAAATCATGTGGACAAAGAGAGAAGACAGCCATCTACAAGCCAAGGAGAGAGGTCTCAGAAGAAATCCACCTTCCTAGCACTTTGATCTTGAACTTCTAGCCTCCAGCACTGGAAGCTGGAATTTATTTCCTCCAAGGAAAAAAAAAATCTGTTTAAGCCACCAGTCTACAGGGGTGCTTGGGTAGCTCAGTCAGTTGAATGTCCGACTTCGGCTCAGGTCATGATCCCATGGTTTGTGGGTTCGAGCCCCGCTTCAGGCTCTGTGCTGTCAGCTAGCTCAGAGCCCGGAGCCTGTTTCAGATTCTGTGTCTCCCTCTCTCTCTGACCTCCCCTGCTCACGCGCTCTCTCTCTCTCTCTCAGAAATAAATTAAAAAAACATTATAATTAAAAAAAAAAACAACCACCAGTCTATGGTACTTGTTAAGATACCTCTAGCAAACTAACATGGCATCCAGAAAGTAGCTATGAAGTGTGGGGGTTTTATACGCTTAAAGTCCAAGGATTTCCCCCGTGAATGTCCCTTAAAAAAAACCTCTACAACTGATAATAGCAATAGATTGAATAATTAAAAACATTATAATTAAAAAAAAAAACAACCACCAGTCTATGGTACTTGTTAAGATACCTCTAGCAAACTAACATGGCACCCAGAAAGTAGCTATGAAGTGTGGGGGTTTTATACGCAAAGTCCAAGGATTTCCCCCGTGAATGTCCCTTAAAAAAAAACTCTACAACTGATGATAGCAATAGATTGAATAATTCCCCAGAATGGGCACTACAACATTCTTAGCGTAGTTATCAATTATTATCTGTTGAATTATACTGGCAGTGTCTTTTAAAAGTCATGAGTGGTCTATGAAGGTCACTGCGTAGTATGAAAACTGATGATTGAGCATGGCCAAGGGGGAAAAAAGTAATCTGATCTACTAGATGAGTAAGCCTTTTTATCTTTGTACATGCAAAACCCAACATTATTCCAATACGAACTGCTGAAGCTGGTAGACCACTCTGGACATTCTGAATCTTGTTTCTTTTTTATTTATTCAGGATTTAAACCCTACTTCTTCTCAAAAAAAAAAAAAAACAAAAAAACAAAAAAAACCAACTTTGAGATTGCTTGAAATTTTTGAAACAATTTATACAATAAATACCATAGTCTAAATTTATAGGTTCATGTGAGAAAGAGAGTAAACAGTTCTTACATATTTTTATCCAAATGAAAGAAAAATGTCTTTCAACTCAACAGTGGCTTGGAAGAAAAAAACTCTGAAACACTGAAGGTTAGACAAAGTAGAATAACTATATGATCACCTTTCTAAAAGTTTTAAAATATGAACAGATTATTTATGTGAACAGGGAAGAAGAGCTCCTATCGTTCCTTAAAGTCTTAAACTTGAATAATGAATATATAGCAGCACAATGTACGAGGCTGTTACCTTCAGTTTTAAGAAAAGACTGCATGGCTAGAAAATAGGAAGGGACTGTAATTCAAAATGAATATAGTAAGTTTTATGTTATCTATTTTAAATTTTTTGTTTATTAATTTTTGAGAGAGAGAACGAGCATGAGAGGTGGGGGGTGGGGGGTGTAGAGAAAGAGGGAGACACAGAATCTGAAGGAGGCTCCAGGCTCAGAGCTGTCAGCACAGAGCCCAACATGGCACTCAAACTCATGAACCACAAGATCATGACCTGAGCTGAAGTCAGATGCTTAACTGACTGAGCCACCCAGGTGCCCCTATGTTAATAATCAGACAAAGAAAGCATGTTCAACTATAGACAATTTTTAGACTCCTCTTAATCTCTTGTTTTGTTTTTTCCTTACAAGTTTTTAGCACTACTATCCCTAACCAAAACACATATGTGTATACTAGCACTAATATTCCTAGCGACAAATATTCCTAACCATTCTAATTATTTTAATTTGACTGTGTACCAGCTATTATGCTAAGTGATTTACATGCATTTCATCTTCATCTCAATTCTGTGAAATGGGTAGTAATTGTGAGTATATCTTCATTAAGTACAATTAATGCTTTACATTAGATTTACAAGATGGGGGTACCTCCAAAACATGAGCTAAGTTGACAGCAAAGTTACTTAAAAATCAACACATGAATAAGAGTAATTTACATACAGAAGCAATTCACCATAGAAGATGCTTCATAAATTTGTTTTTTGTTTTTGTTTTTTTTAAATGTTTCAGAGAGAGAGAGAGAGAGAGAGAGAGAATGAGCAGGCGAGGGTCAGAGAGAGAGGGAAACACAGATTCTGAAACAGACTCTGAGCTAGCTGTCAGCACAGAGCCCGACGTGGGGCTTGAACCCACAAACTGTGAGATCATGACCTGAGCCGAAGTAGGACACTTAACCGACTGAGCCACCCAGGTGCCCGATGCTTCATAAATTTGACTTAAGAGAATGGGCAATGCCTCCATCTAATTAAGGTGACTAAAAAATTGTCTCAACATCCCTCCATCCCCACCTTGTTGTATTTCACGATTTTAAAGTAATCTGCTATCATCTGGACTTTGCAAGTGGGGAGAAAATGGCCCTGTAAGCCAACTCCAGCATCTGGTCTACCTAGTTTTATTCCTTATTAAAAATGCATAAATTGGCATCTGGTCATAGACGGCTGGTTAAAAACTGACACTTGATCACATCTGACAAAATCAAGTTCTAGGACTCCCTGAGATGAACCCTAGATCTGAGACTACGGTAGTTATAAACTCACTCTGGGATCCTGCTTAAGAAATCAACAAGCTCTCCCTCTTGGACGTTTCTTTGTTCTTTATCTTCCTACCTTTCAGTCTGAGGCAATATTAACCTCAGCCAGTATAGCTTTCTAATAAAAATTTCCAAGAATGCAACAGCAAACACCATCTAGTCCCTTTCTAGAGTCTGTGGACCAGTAAAATGTCAGAATAAAATTATTGGGGAGAAAAGTTACCTTTATTTTTCTTTGCCAAGCAGGGGTCACAAAAACTAATCTATTCATAAAAGAAAGTATATTAATGTCAGGGGGAGGAAGAAATACCATAATAATAGACTCTAAAAATTTTTAAATGAATTTAGCTTTAAAGAAAACACATGAGAGCCTCTCATCTCAACAAAGATGGACCTTAGAGGCAACAGATCTAATTTAGCAACTGCATGAGGAAACTGAGACAAAGAAGACTTGATCACTCTGCCTAAGATCACACATCAATATCTCAAACTTTGGGTTCCTTGCCATTTCCAGCACACAGACTCTGGAACTTGTTCCACAGGAAGAGCGAAAGTCCTGCTATAATGATTACCCTTATATTATTCCCCCTCACCTTGATGCGATTCTCACCACGGGGTTTGGTTTTCGGTCTACACACATTTATGCTGAAGTATTATATTCTGGCATTATTTTTGGTAGCTGGAGCATGGAGAGACCAAAGTCTGATAAATGAGGCTTTTATAAACTAGATAGTCTCCAGAGGATCGGATGCACCCATCGTCACTCTCATAAATCAAATTTCCCTTTAACTTTTCCTGGAGCAACAACCCTATGTTCTTCAGAATACGGATTTCAAACATAAAAGCAGATCCAGTCATAAAAATAATTTTTAACCCTCCGTTCACAATATACCATAGAAAAGGAGTACAAGGTTGTGTTTCGGTGTTTTGTTTGTTTGGTTCGTTTGATTTCGTTTTTGGAATGATGAGAATATGGCGATTTAGTCAGGAAACACTCCTTAGAAATGGTGAGACTTTAGCAGAAAGAAGGCGTTGTGAACACACAAATTTAAAGTACATATTCATTAGTGAATGAATAGAAAAGAAGTAAATAGGTCTTTTGTATTCTACCCAATTAAACGATAGTAGTACAAAACAGACACGTTTTGATTCTTTAATTCCTTCCATGAGTAGATGCCCCTTCCTTGTGACACTTAGTCTGTTTTAGCATATGCACATAGAAGAGAACGCAATAGCACAATGGGGTAACATTTAGAACCAGAAAGGAGAATTTACCAAACGTGCTGTAAAGGCCAATAAGACTTCATTTTTCCTGTTCTCATTAGACAGCAAATGACCTTGTCCTTTACAATGTCAAGCCCTGTGGTCTCAGGCTGCTTCTTCTGGTTTCAGATCTCTGATTACCCTCCTTTTCTCCTGGAACATTTTTCTAACTACATGGAAATGGCTTTTATGTTGACATTTGAAAGGTCACGCTACAGAATCTAAGGGCAGATTAAACCATCCTTTATGTATCAGTACGTGATTCTCATTTATTCTGTCACCAGTTTCAAGACAGAGAATCAGCTGGTTCTCAAAATTTAAAAAGCCCCTGCCACGATGAGGAGGAAAGATATTTATTACACAGCTACTAGATTAATAGCAACTTGCAATTACGATTACAGAACAAACTAACGTCACTTTTTCCACCTGTCAAAGCATACCTGCTGTATTTTCTCACCTAGGACTAGCTTGTTTCAGTTCTGTGAACTTCACTAGGGTAAATCAATTATCACTTACCATTAATAAGCAGAGAGCTATCGGATCCTGGATATGAATAGTTTAGACGACCTGAAGGTAAAAGAAGGCCGTTACTAAATTCATTTGTTTCATAGATGGTTTAAACGTATTTGTAACAAAGCTGAATTAATAGCTTCAATAGGTAAGGTATCTTTAAAAAGCTTTATTACGGGATACAACTGCTGTGCTAAATGAACACAATGAGTCAGAGGACATATCAATCAGCATGTTCACAAACGTCCAAATAGGGCAAGTTTGAAAGTGGGAAAATAGAATATCCCTCATATTTAACTATTTGGTCTCTAGTTCCCAAATTCCCATACAAAGTAATTTTCTTGGTAACATTATGTTCTGATGCAAACTCATAATGATAGTGTTTTTTGCCCCATATGTATGGAAGTTTTCAGGTGTGTAGTTTTTTTGTTGTTTTTTTAAAAGTACTTAATTAGCAGGGAGGTATCTCTATATAATTCATGACAAAAGTGCGAAGCTTACGCCTACACATATAGACACACTAATCGGTTTAAATTCTCATTTTGGAGAAAAAGCACAGAAGGTAAAGAAAAATGTTTCATCGTACTTACATGTTGTGACAGAAAATATCAAAGCACATAGCACAATGTCCAGAGTACAATAGGTACGCTGGGTTGCTTTACTTCTCATTTTGAGGGGATTCAAAATCTAGTTGTAAACCTAAAATGGACCCCCAAGATGTCCATCAAAAGAGCATTTGTGTTGGTACTAAAATTTTTGGAAGACATATCATCCCAAATTGGTAGCCACAAATAAAGCAGTGGGATCCCTCCATGTGTGAGGAATTACATTTCTGTTTCAGAAGAGCTTCTAAATATTAAGTTGGGGCATCTACACAACAGTACCACATATTACTTCTGGGTACATACCGTATGCCTAGTTCTACACTGTAAGTTATAAACATCATCAGAGCAACATTTTTCAGTCTACATTCTACATGCCCACCTGTACCCGCATGGTGGGAAACCCTCTACAAGTCTTGCTCATCTAAAGAATGAATAGGAGAACGTGACTGTTAATTACCTACCACAGTCAGCACTTTGTAAATCAGGGAGTAGTGTGAGAATTTAAAACGGACTCCTAATTAGAGACATTTCATTAGGAAGAAGCAGACTAGACTCTAATCCCACAGAATCACAGCAGACTCTCCAAAGCTGTGGAAAAGTGGGTAAGCAGAGGTTCTCCCATGCCTTAAGGCTGAGGCAAGCCTTCCAAGATACCAGGAGGCTCTATTGAGCTCCAGGGAACACTACGGGACGCAGAGCTAGTATGTGGTCCTATCCATCCACCAGCCATACATTGATAACTCCTTAGAAAGGAACTTTAGGCCTCAACTATCCTTCAATTTTTCAAATTCTGCTTCTTTGAAATAGTCTCCAAAGAAATGACCTCACGCCATTTAAAAAGAAAATTGTACTCTACTGCTAACAGCTTTAATTAACCCATATCCAAAACTTGGGAGCCTAATATGAAACAGAATCTGAACTTCATAATTTTCCTATACTTTAAGACCAAATACAAGGATTGTTATTATTAAGCTGTTAGTTACTTCAGTTAAATTTCAGTTTGTTCCTATTCTGAGTGAAGGTAGGGATACAAACAGGAAGGGAGGAGGTAAAAGTTAATTTTGATATTTCAATTTCTTCCTGAAAGTTGGCTCAATTATTTAATGCTAATATACACAGCCACGTATCCAAGTCCAGCAAATTCCAGCTAACCTTCTTTTAACTAGAAGCCTGGATCATATGATCTGTCACAAGCATTTTTTTTTTTTTTTTAAAGCCGAGACTGGTGACGCTGGAAAAAGAACATGACCTTCACTGTTAACTAAGTTAGGAGCGGGTGAGTAGTGTTTGTGAATCAGTTAACTCACAGTAGCAGCTGATTTTCTGTAATGGAACACATGTGTAAATTTTATTGCTGTAAAAATCCTCTAGTAAATAAGCTACAGAAGAACTATCAGACATACCATTTTCATTTACCAGAAAACATTTTTTAAGTTGATGTAAGTCAATACAGAAACAAAAGTACTTAACTCTATTAAAGGAAGTTAAGGGGAAATGTTTTACATCTAAGAAGATATTCTATTTTTTTTTAATGCTAACATTCCAAATGAAACCAAAACTGTTCCATATGAACTAAATGTCTCTCATTTGATGCCAATCAACAACGAGAATCCAAAAGACAAATGACCAAACTGGCTGGCCTGGTTTAAACAAACCCCAGCTCCACCTTATCAGAGACTCACCTTTTGGGTATCTCTTTTAAGGAGAGAGAGATAAGAAGAAAATTTCAACTTGACAGGCACGAAAATGCCCCTTAACTCAGTTCTCACAGTTTGCCTCAACACACAGCTCCTGAAGAGATCCCATCCTTTACCACCAAGGTAGGTGACCTTAGATACTTTTCCTGCTCTTCAGACTTCTGAATGCAGTAATTCTACCCTTCAGCCAAGACAATAGGGCACTGAAGAATCATTGGCCAAGTTCATAGTTTAACTCTGAAAGTGATACTTGTTTTTAATTTTCTAACCTGGTCTTGTGATATGAGTTCTGTCAAGTTAGAATCAATTTTGGGGGGCACCTGGGTGGCTTAGTCGGTTAAGCGTCCGACTTTCGCTTAGGTCATGATCTCATGGTTCGTGGGTTCGAGCCCCGCGTCGGGCTCTGTGCTGACTGCCAGCTCAGAGCCTGGAGCCTGTTTCAGTCTGTGACTCCCTCTCTCTCTGACCCTCCCCTGCTCACGCTGTCTCTCTCTCTCCCCTAG